AGATGAGTTGAAACGAACACTTAAATCATACTATAAATCATAGCATTTTTTTTTTAAAAAAAAGAACTTAGATTTTATCAAAACTTCATGTTTACACTTTCAAAAAAGTGATGTTGTTTTACTCTAAATAAAAATACACTTTTTTCTTGAACAACAAGGAAGAGAATTAATGAGAAATGAATCCATAACAATAATCCTAAAAAGTTTAACTTCTTTCGAAATGATATGATATGATTTGAGAATAATGTTTCTTTCAAAATGATATGATATGATTTGAGAATAATGTGATTTTAATACTAAAATGTATAACTCATTTTACAATTAAAAAAATATATCACCCTTAAACCAACCTATATGAATATATTATAAGGTTATATTTAGAATTATGTTCAATTTGGTGAGTTAAGAGTCAACTAAAATTAAGATAAGGTTTCTAAACTAAAAAATAAGCTTGAAAATAACATGAAATGAAATAAAAATACTTCATGAACAAAATATATTTGATTTATCAAAACTATTTTTGTGTAATGAAATGAATGGTAGTAAATTATAATGAGAAAGAGACCGAAACAAAGTGATTTTCACGCAGAAATGTATTAAACTAATATTTTTTATTTTTTAAAAATTATTTTTGATATCAACACATCAAAATGATTTAAAAACATTAAAAAAAATTAATTTGAAGCAAAAAAATAATTTTTTAAAAAATATTTTTGAAACGCAAAAACAAACAGGTTAAACTAGAGATATTGAAAGCTATATTTTCTTTTTGTTTAGTTAAACTAGAAATATTGAAAGCTATATTTTCTTTTTGTTTAACTTTCATAATTAGTATTATGGTTGGAGTATCTAGTATATTTAAAGATGTTAATCTAAGTATTTTTCTAGTTCTATTCTTAATGTTTAAATTTCTTTGCATACTAATTATGTTGGCATAATTTTTTTGTGTTTAATAAAGGTTTAATTATTTGATACTATCATGATTAACATATCCTTGTCTTTATTATTGCCTAATACGTATGAGTAAAATATACAAGCGGGTGTTAATCTCTTGGAACTAGCATTTAGATTCTCATGTAAATAAAAACAAAGATTTTATGATTAAAAGGTGTTAGATTTATATTTTGTCAGTGTTTGGGAATCTGGTTTAACTTGCATTTCCAAAAAATTCAAAAAAAAATTATTTTAGTGTTAGATTTATATTTCGGCAGTCTTTGGGAATGTGGTTAAACTTGCATTCCTAAAAAATTTTAAAAAATTTTATTTTTTATTTTTATTAAAATTTAATATGATTTGTATGTTTTAGATCGTTTTGATATGCTGATGTTAAAAATAATTTTTAAAAATAAAAAAAATCATCAACATATATTTCGATACAAAAAGTTATTGAAAAAGTAACTACTATCACACTGTCAAACATACTTTTTATATCATAATTGAATACAACTCGTGTAAATAAAAAACAAACAAGAATAAAAAGCAACATTGACTTCAAACAAAGAATGGAGGCTACAATGTTACTTAGCTAAAAATTAGATCACTAGTAAAAAAATAATTTTATCTTTTGAGATATAATTAAAATTCAATTAAATATGTATTTACTTTAGTTAATAATACAAAAAAATAAATAAAAAGAAAAATATTTAAATAATCAACCCGAGATAATCCAATGATTTTATTATCATTGTTTCTGCTATTGCAGGATATTGATGACAGGTATACGTTTCCTTAATTGCATCTTGTTCGTTATTTGCCTGCAGCTTTAAGTGTTCAAGACCTGTGAAAATGAAACATAGCAGTCTGGTCCAAGCTTGTCGGAGAGATATCAACAAGAATTTTCCAATGTCATGTAATGTTGTCATGGTTAAAATACTAGATTTTTGCTTGGTATTTCACAATGATTAAGTGTTTATGGATTTGTTGGTAGTTAATGTCATCCTGAGTTTTTTTTTTTCTATTTTTTTGAAGATTTGTGGGTTTTCTCTTAATACTTCCCAGTGTTTATGCATGAAAAATAAAAACTAATATTTATGTAATTATCAAGAATTTATTTATATAATTTCAAAACTTATTTTGAAATTGAGACTTTTAATTGCATGATTTAAATGATGATATCTTTTAAATTATTAGAACTAAGAATCATGGTATCTTTTTAAATTGTTAATATTATCAAAATTATGTTAATTATTGACATATCTATTTGGTGATTTAACTTGTGATGGTTTGGCATTTGTTTAATTTAAATTTGATTTGATTAAAATATTGAAAATTTTACTAGTATATTTCTAGATTTTTTTCTTAACATTCCAAAGAAAAAATTTGATAGATTTCTTTTAACATATATTTTTTATATTTTTCAGCAAATATTTTAATAAACAATTTGTATGAGATATGTTTATTTATATCTTCTTTAAAATACCTATATTTTATATCATCTTAAATAAATATAAGGGTTTTTGGAGCATAAAAAATGACTTCTATAACATATATTAACTGTAAACTAAAAGTGAAGGGGTTTTATTATCTCTTCTTACAAAACACTATTTGTTAGAATAATATTTTGCTTTGTTTTTTTAATTAATTTTATTTTTTAATATTAAATTTTTTATTTATTTAATTATCACATTATCATGATACGAATTTTAGGTTTGAAGGGTTAACTTAGTTGACTCGGATTTGTTTTCCATTTCTTAATAAGTTTTTTTTTTTTACTTTCATTTACTTTCAATTTTATTTTATAACATTGATTTGATTGAAAATTAAATTTCATAATTTACTTTCAGTTTTATTTTATAACATTAATTTGATTGAAAATTAAATTTCATGATTTGTTTATTTACTTTTCATTAGATTATCCCAATTTCATGACACAAAAATAATGCTTGACAGATTAACCCAAACCCAAGTTTACACGGGTTGTTTTTTGTGTCTTTTATTTAATTGATTTTTTTTTAAAATTTATTATTCAACATAGGTTGTTTTTTGTATCTTTTATTTAATTGATTTTTTTTAAAATTTATTATTCAACATTGGATCGGTTGAGAATTGAGTTTCATAATCTATTTTGATTTGCTTTTTATGAGATATCTTAGTATTAAGATCAAGGCCATGAGTTTTGACATTTTAACCCTGATTAAATCAAGTTTATTTCTTTCTAAAATGTTATATTAGTCATATTATCTGGGTCACGAGTCATTCAACTTTGGACTCATTTTTTATTAAGTTGTCTTGTCTCATGATCGAGGTTGCAAGTTAATTTAACTGACTCATTTTTATTTCTTTCTGTTTTTAATTTATTTATTTTTTTAATTTCATCAATTAATATTGTGTTTAATTAGAAATTAGACTTCATGATTTGTTTTTGATTATTTTTCATTAGGTTATCTTGGTCTCATGACTTGGTAATAGTGTTTAACAGTTAACACGAGTTAATTTGGTTTGTTTTTTATATCATTTTTTAATGAAATTTGCTTCAACATTAAATATGATAGAGACGATTGAGAATTTAACTTTATAATTTGTTTTAACTTTCTCTTTATGGTATTATCCCAGTCTCAAGATCAAAATTATGGATTTGATAGGCAAATCCAGGGTAAATCAGATCATTTTTTTTTCCTAATAGATCATTTTTTTTCCTAATAGGTTATTTCAGCTTAATGACTTAGGTTATGTGTTTGATGAATTGACTCAGGTTGTTTTTATGTTTTTTTTTTTTAATCTTATCCTTCAATATTAGGCTAACTAGGGATTGAAATCTGTAATTTGTTTTGATTTGCTTTTAATGGGGTTATCTCAATCTTATAACTTAAGTTGCAAATTTAACATATTAACTCAAGTCTTTTTTAAAGTTCTTTTTTAATTATTTTTTTTAATTTCATCATTTAATATTAGGTTGATTGAAAATTGAGTTTAATAATGTATTTTGATTTGTTTTCTATAGAATTATCATAGTTTCATAACTCAGGTCATAAATTTGACATGTTAATTCGAGTTGTTTAATATCAATCTAATATATTGTTATTTTAATAGCAAAAAAAAATATCATTTTAAAATAATATTTAGTCAAAATTTGTTTTTACAAGTTATATGAATTTTGATTTGCTTTTAATGGGGCTATCTCAGTCTTATGACTTAAGTTGCAAATTTAACATGTTAACTCAAGTTTTTTTTAAATTTTTTTTTTAATTATTTTTTTTAATTTCATCATTTAATACTGGGTTGATTGAAAATTGAGTTTAATAATGTATTTTGATTTGTTTTCTATAGAATTATCATAGTTTCATAACTCAAGTCATAAATTTGACATGTTAATTCGGGTTGTCTAATATCAATCTAAGATATTGTTATTTTAATAGCAAAAAAAATATCATTTTAAAATAATATTGAGTCAAAATTTGTTTTTACAAGTTATATGAATTGTGTTTGGATCAGTAAAATCAACCAGGTTATATTGGGTAAACCTTTATACAATTTTTTTGCTAGGAAAACAATTAACAACATTTGAATAATATTTTTATGTTCAAGAAAAAAATGATTTAACTCACAGCATAAGCATAATACATGTAAATTATTTAGTTATTTTTAAATTAAAAGCAAAATAGTTATGTTTCCATTATCCAGTGATTTCTAAATTAAAGGTAAAATAGTTAAGATTAATAATTCAATTTATTTATATAAGTATTTTAAATAATATAATTAAATATAATTATTATTTAACTTTAAATATAAAAATTATTATAAATTATTAATCCAATTCAAATTTTCTTATGAATTAAAATAAATCCAGAAAGCGAGATTTTACCCTAGAGAAGGTGCTAGTAATTACCATGAATCGAAAGGGAAAAAAAAAAAAAAAAAGAGGCAGCAGCAAATACGATGGATCACCACACCACCACACAAATCTAAATAAATAAATATAAAAAAGAGCGTGCATATACGACAGGACGCTAAACGTACAAATAAAATACAATGCTTCCCAACTCCGAAGTCTAAAGTACAAGTTTACAACACCACACAATACCACACTGTTTTAGTTCCTTGTTTTATCAGACAGCTACATATCTCTCGCCCCCCGAATTACACCTCAATCTCCGTACCCCTCTCTCTATCTGATATCGTCGCCGGCGTCGTGTCGTTGGTGAATCTGAAAGACCAAGAATCAGAAAGACAATAACAATGGAGGGAGACAAGTACTTGCAGGAATTCTTGGTCGAGACATCAATGTTCAACAGCATTGTTTTGGGCCATTTGTTACCGTCCAGTTGTTGGGTCACTCTGCCTCATTTCTTGCAGACTTGGCTTCGTAACTACATTGCTGGAACTCTCCTTTACTTCATCTCTGGTTTCCTCTGGTGCTTCTATATTTATTACTTGAAACGCAACGTTTATGTCCCTAAAGGTAGAACACATTTTTTTATTATTATGTTTTTCTTGATTTGAGATTGTTCTGTTCGGTTCTTGAATTTTTTAATCTGGTTTTTTTTGGTTGATTTTGGGTTCATAAGTTTTTCTCGATTTTGTTTTTTTTTGGTACTGTGATCTAGTATAGATGTTAATTTGAAATCTAAGTTTGTTTGCTTAGCGTTTCTTGTTAATTAACAGATATGATTCAAAAACTCTTCTTTTGTGATGTTAATGCGTAATGAGATTGATCTAGTTATTGATTTTCAATCTGGGTCTTCCCTTTTCATTTTTCATTTTTTTTTCTTTCTGGATTTTTTTTTTACTTCTGAAGTCTCTCATGTTGAATATGAGATGATAGATTTGTGGCAGGCAGCTCTGATGTGTTGGTGTTTAATGGAACCATTCATTCTGCTAGTGTTCATTTTGTCAACTCTCATGTGCATGTCTAGTTGTAAAGTTTGAATCTTTTGTCTGCTTACGGTCCATATTCATGACATTAATATTCGCATGCGTGGTTATGTATAGTATCTTCTTTGCTGTCAAGTTTGATTCTGGTATCATTTATTCTCATTCTAAAATTTTTATGTGGATTCTGACTGGCTCTCAATTATGAGTCAATGTTTATATCTGAGTTGGTTATTGCCATTCTTCTTTCTAATTATTGATTTTCTGTGCTACTTTGGATTTTCTTCCTTTTTCACACCTCCAGATCTGTAATCATTGAATTTGAGAATTCTCTTCCTTTTTGTCAATTTCTTACTTACATTGCTTGTTGTCCTTACTTTGCTTGTAACTACAAGAACATGCTGTACCTTTTTCGCGCCCCCCATGCTTGCCTCTTTCAACTCTCTTGGAAATATGTAGAATGCGTCCTCTTTTTCTGCAAGTGTCCACTGCAATTGCTTCCTTTTTCTTTTTTGAATTTCAAAAAACCTATTAGTTAGCGTGATGTCCTGAAGTCCGAATTGAATTTCAAAAAACCAATTAGTTAGCGTGATGTCCTGAAGTCCGAATGCCATGCAACATAACATTACTTCATGATTATGACAACAGAAGTTATGATGTGTAGAGAAGTTACCGCTTTTTATGTTTTTGTTTTTTTTCCTCTGTTCCTATTTGCTGAGAATTTACAACTTTTTTTCTTATTTTCTCACAGCACGCGTATATGCCTATTTAATAAGATTGCTCCACCATTTCAATCAGCAAGCATGACTTTTAAAAGTTGATTGATTTATTGGTGGAGTTTTCTTATGTAAGGTATTATTTGAATTTCCTTTAGACTCTAGTATCATTCACTTGAGATGATGATTTGCCAGTTTTCTTGTCAGGCCAAAGACTACACCTTTTTTTGATCTCTTGCAGATACCATACCTTCAAACAGAGCCATGCTCTTACAAATATATGTTGCTATGAAGGCTATGCCATGTTACACTCTTCTTCCAACAGTTTCTGAGTACCTGATTGAAAATGGCTGGACAAAGTGTTTCTCTAGCATATCTGAAATTGGTTGGTTTGCGTACATCATATATTTTCCTATATATCTTGTTATTGTGGAGTTTGGGATTTACTGGATGCACAGAGAATTGCATGATATAAAACCTCTATACAAGTATCTTCATGCAACCCATCATATCTACAACAAACAGAACACTCTATCTCCATTTGCTGGTATGTTCTTAATCCAACTCTATTATGTTCGTTGTTTATGTTGTGATTAGTCAGTTGAGCACTTATAGCATTATTAGTGCAACAAAGATAAACTTTTGGCCCCTTTTCGATTAAGAAGCTTGCTGATGGCAGGCAAATATAGTCATCAGGCCTTGCTTTCCACGTAGAATTTACACTATATATAATTGTGGAAGTTGTCTTTTACCATAAAGTGGTAGACCATCAATTGGTGATTGTAAAAGACTGGACTAAGTGGTCTCAGGCGTATTATTTTTAATTTGTTATTAGGCAAATTCTACAATGCCTTAAAATTCCTTTACCCAAATCGGACCTTCTCGTGCAATATCTCATGTCATTTCCCAAGTGGTTCTTTGCAAGTTTACAAGTGTTTCCAAACATGGCATAGCCGGTAAGACCTTGACCAGATCTGAGGGACAGCCGGTGAACTTTGTTCTGGATATCATTTGTGACTTCTGAAATTTGGTGGAAGTGACAACAAAGGAATGCCTTCCCTTGCAAATTACTGTCACATTACTTTGTTACAAGTTTTAAAAAAAAGGTGACTGTTATAGAACTGCCTTCTTTGTTGCTGAATTTCGACAATAAGCAATCCATTATCTGGCCAGAAGGTGACCTGATATGGTCCATTGGTACCAACCATGTGGGACATATATATTCGGTATGACTTGTGTAATAATTGCAGAATGAAGTGAAAAAAATTGTGGATGAAGTGCAGTGTTTTTGGAAAAGGCATCCAGGGAAGGGCATTGTAGAATTTGCAGTGAAAATTGTTGTAGCTTCTTGGCTGAAATCTTGAAAGTTTATCCAATTACTAAGAGAACTGGATTAGCTTATAACGCAAGTTTGTTTTCTGCTAATGTTGACTGCTTACCTTTTTTCTTTTGCTCTATTCACGTCTTGAAATGCACTTAATCTGTGGCAAATTTCACAAAAGACCACACTGAATTCCAGAATTTTTTAATACCAGATCCCAATAAAACTCACCTTGTTTGACCAAGTCACTCAATGTGTGGAGCACGAATCCACATTGTATGATTTAGTTAATGAATGTCGGATGTAAGTTCCAAAACAGTAGTGTAAATGTAGAAGCCACCCACGAATAGAAGTGTAAGAATGCGGAACTATTGATGAATTTGAAGCAACTTTGTTGATAATTGCAGCAACATCTAGTGGCCTCTACATTAGAGGAAGACACTACGATTACGGGACTTTTGTCATACACATTCGCTGACTTAGTGGGTTTTTCTCTTGCACATTCCGTGACTTGGTATTTCTGAATTTTAGAATTCAATGTGGTGCTTTTGAGGAATTCAGTGAAAAAATTGTCAAAAACTCGTTAAACTGTGACCTTTCCCTGCAGGGGAAAGGTATTGTAGACTTTGCATTTAGGCATTGCTTTTTGAACCAAGTCATCTTTAATTGTTAACCTTTACAAGGATCACTTATTGGAAGTTATTGCCCTATTTCAGGTTTGGCATTTCACCCACTTGACGGGATTCTACAAGCTGTACCACATGTTATAGCTCTGTTTCTTGTGCCAACCCATTTTAGATCGCACGTAGCCCTCTTATTCATTGAGGCCATATGGACAGCAAACATCCATGATTGCATCCATGCCAACCTGTGGCCCGTGATGGGTGCTGGGTACCACACCATTCACCATACCACATACAAGCATAATTACGGCCATTATACTATATGGATGGATTGGATGCTGGGAACCCTTCGTGACCCAGAAGATGATTCATGCCAGAGAGCGCAGAAGGTGCAGTGACGCCCTTGCTGTTCCTTCGTGATCCAGAGGATGATTCATGCCAGAGAGCGCAGAAGGTGCAGTGACGCCCTTGCTTGTCTTCGCAAAGCTGCTCGTGCAATTCCCGGTACTTTGCTGGGTAGACTTGCGTTTTGGTAGGATGCATGTAATGTTTTGGTTGGACTGCATGTAATGCATGTGGCCTTTGCATATATTTATTTTGTTCTTTGTTATGATTTGTTGTTTCCGTGGGCTCAAAAGGCGACAATGTTTGAGAGCTCAAGGATGTTTTCTGCTTGATTAACTTGCAATTTAGCCACGAGCTCTATAAGCCAATGTTTAGTGTGTCTTTGTTAACGTGGTTCTGTATGATGTTGCTGTTTGTTGGCCCCAAAATAGTTAGTCTTCAGAACCAAGCTAGTCTTCTTTTTCTTTTTCTTGAAGAAAGCAACAAGAGATATCCAAAAATTTAGGGGTGTTTGTCTTTCATGGCAGATTTGTCATTAAAGGGCAGCCAAAAGTGGTGCCGAACGGATCTTCATCAACTTTTATGGTGCAACAGTGGGACTAGCCATTGGCTTTCCATCTCAACCACACAGCCTTCTTCTTATCTAGTTGGCATGCTGCGTATGGAATTTTGTTCTGTATTTTGCTTTGTTATAAAGAAATGTCCTTTTTGTTTTTTTAATTAGTATACTGTATGCTAAAAGAGAGCAGATAGATAAGACATTCACTGTGCGATTACACTGAATGAATGGCTGATTTTAAGCTTGGGGGGTAAGCTTGAGTTTAGGGTAGAAAGGATTTTTAATGAAACTTACTAATAATTATATTAAAGGAGTGAAGATATATTTTTTTTGCAGTGTAATTATTAAATGACCCTTGGAAAAGAAAAAAAAATTCCTTAGTTTACAGGGTTTTTCATCTTTTTTTTTTTTACAATAAAATTACTTAAATGCCCCCAAAAAATAGTATTCCTTAACCATGGATGTAAGGGTGCTTTGGGTATTTTGTTATATTTTTCTTTGTAATTCTCATGTGTATTGAGGAATAATTGAGTCTTTTTATATATATAAATTATTATTTTAATTTGAGAGTAGTTAGTGTGGATTTAGCATGCATCAGCAAGTGAATGGTGCCTGTATCCTTTGGATGGTGCGTGTGGCGTTGAAACAACACCAGATATAGCTTTTTAGGGTGGCGCTTGATGTGCCTCACCATCCCTGTCACAGTGGTGAGGTGCATGTTTGTATCCGGCACATATCCAGCACATAGCGAAGCTCCAATCATAAGTTTTTTTCTCTTTTTATCTCTCATTTCCTAGAAAAACATATTAATCATTGTGAAAAAAACCAAAAAAGTCTGGATATTTGTTTGTTATGTTAAATTAGGTTTTTATTTTTTTGATTACAATGTATTTGGTCTTGAATTATTTATTGAGTTAATTTTATTTTTTAATTTTATCTTTTGAAACTTGATTTTTGTATGATTTTTTGTTCTTATTCTTTTAATTGTAATGTATCTGGTCTTCAAAAAATTATTGAGTTAATTTTCTTTTCAATATCATCCCTTTACACTTCAACTTTTATATTAGATTCTGTTATCTTTCTTTTAATTGTGATATATTTTCTTTTATACTTTATTGAATTATTTTTCCTTTTAATTTTCTCTCATAATATTTAACTTTTATATTAGATATGGTTCTCATTCTTTTAATTGTTATTTTTAGTTATTCTTATCATTTTTTAATTTAAATTGTTATTCAATTTTATCCCTTATGATTTGGTTTTATTTTTTTAAGTCAAATTTGGTTCTCTTTCCTTTCAAATCTATATTTTTTAATCATTTTTATTTGTTTTTTCAAGCTTATTCTTGATTATTTTGGTTGATTGAGAATTTTACATTATTTTTTTTTAGCTTTTCCTTTTATGTTATCATCTGGCCTTATAGTTCATGTCACAAGTTATGAAGTTTAGACTAAATTAGCTTAAATCATTTTTAATTATTTGTTTGCTCTTAAACATTTAATTTAATTTGATATTTTATCCAATTTTGGTCTTTATTCTTTTAATTATTTTTTTTATCCTTACTTTATTTTTTTTCAATTTAGCCCCTAATTATTTTCTTTCATTTTGTTTTTATATCATAATTGATTTGCATTATTTGAGTTTTAAATTGTTTTACGGTTGAATATTTTACTTTTTAATTTTTTCATGGTTGCCTTCCAACATAGCAACCCTTTTATTGAAAACTGTGTTTTTTTTTTCCTTTCAAATTCATCATTTGACATTTACTTATTAAACCCTTAGTTTCACTGTCTTTTGCACTTTTTTTTTTGTTGAGGTATCATGATCTTATATCTCGAATAATAAGTTAGTTAAGTTAAACAAGTGCCATGATTCAAAAGAATAAATTTGATGCTCCTATTATGGTCACCAATTGTTTGATGTAGATTCCTTCATATCTACCTGAATTATGAGGACTTTCCAACTTCATATTAAAGTTTTAAGTTAATTGGTTTAAACTCTAGAGTTCTACTTTAATTGGTCTAAACTCTAAATTTAGTTTTAGATTTACTCAAATAATTCTAAATTTATATTATTGAATACATATTTATCAATATGATTAAATCTACTTTACACAACCAGTAGTTCAACTAAAAGAAGTAACCAAATATTAAAATAACTTGAATGTAAAGTTAACTCAATAACTTAGAAAATGAATACTTACATTTAAAGAGTGATTCATACTCTAATTACATCAATGAATTGGAACTCTAGGAGAATAGAACATTTCTTTTGGTATTTTTAGTTTATGGAATTGATCTATAATTTTACTGATTATAAAGGAAATTACAAGCCTACTTGACTATTATCTACAAATTTATCGCCCACAGAATTACCGTCTACTAGTTTCAGGTTTGAAAGGTCATGAGAACTTAATAAAATTATAATACAGTGATTTGAGTTTGAATTATTAGTTTTTTTAATTTTTGTCTCTATCTTCCTTGCAATCCACGTTATATAATCAATTATGCGATGTTTACATTAACTATTAGTTAGCTACCGATAACTTCCTATTTTTTAGGGCTCTTTTCACGATCTAATATCCATGAGAGTTACTACTGCTTTTTAATTAAGTGGCTTATTACACCTACTTGTATGGTTAATCCTATCTGCATGTTCCTTCTTTTATGTAAATCTTATCTTTTAAGTTTCTTTTAATTAATCTTATCATGCAACTCTCTTATGCTCTTTTGTTTATCTCTTATATATTTTTATACAATTATGCCTTGAATGTTTCCCCATTCAAATAAACTATTGCGGGCTAGATATCTTTTGTCAGGCACACAAAGTGATATCGGCATGTGACTTGTGATTATAGTAATTATGATATCATAGGTGTTCATAGTTTGGTTTGGTTCAGTTTGGTATAGACTCAAAAAACCAATCAAATTGAATTATATTAATTTTATGAAATATTAACCGAATTGGACTGAAAACCGGTTCAAACCGTTAAATCCAGTTTTTTTGGCAAAATAACCTGGAAACCTAATTCCATCATCTGGATTTTTCATTTGACAAGGAGAAAACATAGGCAAAGAAAGAAGATAGATTTTACAACCATGGTTTCCATTGCCATTAGTCCCATTGATCTCAACCATTACTTACAACAAGAAAGACAACTAAGAATGAAAAGGGAGAAAAGTTAAGAACAAGAAAAAGATACAAGAAGTGACAGATGCGCAAAGATATTTTCTTTGAGATAGCTTTGTTCTTCTCTATGGAGTATATATAGCAAGTACAAGCTACTACAACTTTTCAAGTTACAAAGGCTTATAAATATACAAAAGTAAGGGAGAGAAACAATTGTTAACTCCTATTTTCTTTACTATGTTTTCACCGAAGATCACTGCTTTTCAATTTTCTTTGGGTGTGTATGACGTTGAAAAATATAACCTCCGTATTAAAAACTCATTCAACAACCCACTGGAAAGGAAGATTAGGAAACTAGGAAAGGAAGATTGGAAATTAATTGAGAGGAAGATTATTGAGAATTTTTATGGGGCAAGCATCAACTTTTTGTGAGAAGCAGGAAGGTTATAATTAATTGAGAGGAAGATTGAGAATTTTTATGGGGCAAGCAGCAACTTTTTGTGAGAAGCAGGAAGGTTATATTAACTGTTACGGTTAGGTTACAATTTACCTATTTATACCTCAAAGATTTGGGTAATTTTTGATTTTTAATGGGTCCGGTTTGGTTTGTGCTGGTTTTTGGTTCAAAACCAAACCAGACTTGTTAAAATTTATGGTTTTGACAATTTGTTTAATCGGTTTTTCATTTTGGTTTGGTTTTTTTGGTTAATTTTTCTTTAGTTTTTTTGGTTAATCGATTATTTTTAACACCCCTAATGACTATGATAGGCAAAGAGATAACTCCTATTTTCTTTACCATGTTTTCGCTGAAGATCATTGCTTTCCAATTTTCTTTGGGTGTATGTGACGTTGAAAAATGTGACCTCCATATTGAAAACTCATTGAACAACCCACTGGAAAGGAAGATTGGAAATTAATTGAGAGGAAGATTGGGAATTTTTTTGGGACAGGCGGTAGCTTTTTATGAAAGGCAATAAGGTTATATTAACTGTTAGGGTTAGGTTACAATTTAACTATTTATACCTCAAAGATTTGTGTAATTTTTGGTTTTTAATGGGTCTGATTTGGTTTGTGCCAGTTTCTGGTTGAAAACCAAAACCGAACCAAACCTGGTAAAATATATGATTTTGATAATTTGTTTAATCGATTTTTCATTTCGGTTCGGTTTTTTCGGTTAATTTTTCTTCAGTTTTCTTGGTTAATCGATTATTTTGAACATCCCTAATGAATATGATAGGCAAAGAGATTGTATGGAGGAGATGGGGATGCATATCTGCAGAGAAGGGGAGAGGGGAAGAGTACTGCAGGCATGGAATTCTGTTATTTCTGGGAGAGCAGATGAAGCTAAATGGTCTTTAATCGCATTTAATGATAAGATACTCTGTTGTTTTGACCAAATAGGTTTACAAAATCACTCTTTACTGAAGATAAACCTGTGGTCTAGTGGTGGAATAAGGTTCCTTCCAGGCATGCTGACTACTCAAATTCCTGTCTTGCCATTCTTGATCTCAGAACCTGGCTCTCCAATTTGCTACACATGAAAAATCACTCTTCCTTAGTTGATTACATGCTCAACAGAACATATTTTATTGATGGCTTGCGTGGTAAAAAGATAAAAACAAAACAAACAATAAAAATCTCCACACAAATTCGCAGTCAAAACACATTTTGATCTGAGATGCTTTGGCCTTATATACAAGCATCGAATTCAAACCAGCGCCATTATCAAGATGCTTATAAATCCAATCTAGAAAAAACATTTCACTGGTTTTTGACCGATGCAGTATCATGTTTTCTTTCTCCAACAATTTAAAGAACCAGCACTCCATAACTATACACATCAGACTTGTATGAAACCCCTCCAAAGTTTCTGCATAATACTTCTGGTGCGATGTATCCAACAGTCCCTCTTGCAACCACCCTCCATCGAAACCTTACTTTTCCCTGCTCTTGCATAGTTTTGAGAGACCAAAATCAGAAATCTTTTGACAAAAACCTTCACTGAGAGGAACTCTGTTGATTTCCAATAGCAATGTCATACGGTACTTCAATT